ACCTTAAATCCTAAAGTTCCAATGCCAGTACGTTACAAATGGATACAGACTCTGCAAAACGGTGGTCCTAGGACGTGCACCTTCCTTTGAACGACGAAGAGTGCTTCCCTGTCATTCGGAGGAGACTCGGCGGATGCTTTTATTATGCATTGTCAGAATAGGCCGTAAGCCATCACGAGGAGAGATGCAAAAGTTTTCAGGTATATAGCCCTCATCAAACATGTCCTTCTCACAGCACTGTGAGAAATCGGATCAAAAGTCATCCACCATTCTACAGACGTTTCTGCGCACACCCCCGTACTATTTTTATGGACTTCAAATACTTTATACAAACTACATCAGACCCTTCTTAAATATGCCAACCAAGCCGTCTGTTCGGAAGGCAAGAAGGACATAAGCCTAATTGAGCGTGTCCAGCAAGCTGTAACGAAATTAGTTGCTCGCCTTAAATCCGTGAACTATGAAGCGCGTCTCGTGGTGCTCGTCCTCTTTCCTCTTGCGTATCGTCGCCTCCGAGGAGACCCAATTCTTACTTGCGCCCTGTTCGAACGCGGTTTTTCACCGTTTACCCAGAAGACACACAGCGAGGGCATGGTGAGGAGATTTTCAAACTCAGAGCGCACACTTTCATTGAAGAAAATTTTTCTTATTTCGGGCAGTAACTGCGTGGAATAAACTTCCTCCGACAGTTGTCCACGCTCCATCCGGAACCCTGTTCAAAGCATTATTAGTAATTTGTATGCGAGTCCTCCCGCTGGCAAGCATACTGCCTTTGCCGAGAACTTTAGGAGCAGTGCTACACCCTTTCCTCACTTGTGCCTTTCAGGCGAACGACAGCCGTTGAACGACAAGAATGAAACCAACCCGAGAAACTCAGGCGAAAGCTTCGATCCTGGGTTTCAATTCATGAACCTGTGAAACCCCATCCATAATAGTACTTCACCAGCTTCAAGGTCAAAATACGCATGTCAGTTCTACAGGTTTGAAATATTGTTTCGCCTTCGCGCGTATGCCCGAGTAAATTGTTAGTTTGTAACTGTCCGAATGCAGTTATACTAAGATTATAGTGGTGGCTAAGTGAATATTGGTCACGTTTGTAGTTTCAACTACAGACCGCATGTTCGTCGCGGTACCCAGGTGGCACGACCGACTAGGCCTAGTCGGGTTCACAAACTGATCCAGACCAGGTTTACACTGTGTAATGTCGGGAGGAGAATGTACACCCTTTTTCCGCTTTGTGCTGTACCGACACGATTTGATACCTACTGTAATCTTACATATATGCCTATCGGATGGCATAAAAAGGGTAGCCGTCTTTGGTCGACTGTAGCCACCGGTTGCGCCATCGGTGGTATGCGTAATGTGTCACCCCTACTTGCTACCTTGGCTACTGGTTGGAAACGGTGGCCTTTTTACTGGGAGAGTCTCCACCTCTAATGGACCCTGCTGTGGTCTCATTCTAACGTAACAGACATCCAAAGAGTTATCGCTAGCTGTTTTGATGCGGCAGCATTATATATACTTGCAAATTATTAACGCTCTAATCCGTTTCAAAAGCCCATTCTACTGGTGGGCTTTGCACCTATTTAGTTAAATGCACTTCCGTCCCAATAACATGGGCCTATAAAATCATATTTAAACTCCCTAATTATAAAGAAACAAGCAGAATTATCGTGAAACTCGAAGCGAAATGATGATACAGGCATACAACACGTGCCGCTTAGGACCTTTGATGCAATTTGAAGATCAGCAAAAAAAATCCTCGTTTCAGAGAGGTTTGGTAAACAATCGTTGGATTAATCGCTGGGAAACCTTACCCTTTTGACAAAAAAGCTTCGTCAGGCCAAGCAAGCAAGTTGCCAGGTTGATCGAGTTTTAGGGCGATCGGAGAACCAATCCGTGGGATTTCTTATGATTAGCTGACTTGATCAGTGCTGAAATTCCTGTTTGTCGCTCAGTGGGGATAACTAGCATTTACGAGAGATTAGTTGGGGTCACAAATAGATTGTTGACCACCAGTTAATCGTATTATAAGGCCTTCAGGGGCTTAAGATGTCAACTCATATTCATTTAACCAAAAGAAATTTTATTCATTGATAATAATACCGTTATTAGAGTCCACATTATCATCATGGACAACTCGACGTCAGCAAGTAATATCGATAACTTGCTGCCATAAAACAAAAGTTTACTCGAAAGCCTTATTCTAAGAAAAAAATAAAGACTAACATAGAAGGGACATAGTGCTAGCCAACTACAATTATTCAGAGGTGCGTATATCTCCCGAAACGCTTTTAGATAATCCGGATAGAAAGTGACAACCAAAACGCAATTGGCATCGATGAACAGTTATAGTTTACAGTGTCTTCAACCAAACGCAATCGAAATTCCAAGGTCTCTATCCTAGAGAGCGACTCGCAGAGACAGCACCCAAACGTCTCGTTTATTTTATACTTCTCGGCCAACTCAAGGGATTACCACTCCTCTGCTTCGTCACTCTAGATTGGGCACAAAAAGCGGTAAGACGTTTGACAAACAATTGTACGGCATGCGCAATACATGGTTTAATCAACGCAGCTTCTGGGGCTGGAAACATTCTTCGATGGATGTCCCCGTTGACAAATTGTCGAGGAAAACCAGAGTACCCAACTCTATGTTCAGTTTTTGTCACCGTACACGCAAAACAACAAATGTTTGTCACGTCTGACAGTTTTCCTTCTTGAACTCGAAATAAATGAAAATTGTACACTGCTTGGTTTTTCCTTGTGAGAAATGACCTTAGTACAGCAGTGTAAGTTTGTTAGGACATGCTTGTTGGAAGCATTTCCAGTAAAATCAACCACTGTAAAATAGAAAGCAAAGATAGACTTTTGAGTGCTGTCAGAGCGCTTCTCTTTTCTTGCGTGGAAAATTTTTCTAAAACGGTCAAACACTACGATGGCGAGAGATATATGCTTATCACTTCTGAGCTACAACCCTCATAAAATTTGTCCAAAGAGATTTTTGGCGTCCATTCTAGGACACATGTTCTCATAGTATCAACACTATTTGCTGTTCGAAAACAATATTTTAGGGATAATTGTGTACGTCTGTGGTAGATTTCTACTAGGAGGTTACTGGAAAATAAACATAAGGTCACAAACAAAAGTTTTTCATACGGCATCAAAAGACGCAAAATACTCAAGGTAAACAATTTGGTGATCGTGCGCAATCATGCTCAAAGAATGAGCTAACCGTATGAAAGCGAAAACCGATTAACTAAATTCCTTTGCTCGGTGATTCGCCAAGTCAATATCCATTGAACTGACTGTGAACAAGAAAACGGAGCTGGTATGCCGGTCAGTTGAGGCTTTGAGCACACTGGACGGCCTGCTAAAATATAACATACAGTTTAAATAAGCATAAGTATTTATGAGCAAGGAAAATACTGTTTGCACACGCAACCTGTCCATATAGAAGCTTTTAGGTTTATCCGTGTGACGTAAATCTAAATTTTTTGCTTTGCACCCAAACATTTGCAAGTATAAAGTTACAATGGACATGCAGTAAAGCTGGTTGGTTTCTTTTACGAAATCCGCTGTTATTTACCGTGTAATTTTTGTCGTACCTCCCATAAGTTAAGATCCTACAATCCCAGGAGCCTTATTTGCAGCCAGTTCGCTGTAGACTTCACGCTGACTTTTTTCATGTCTATTTTTTTCAAAATTATTGTAGCCGTACATTCTTTCCAAAACATATAGATATATACTCTTTTAGTGTAGCTTTTATAAGCTTGTTTACCCAGCATTTCGTGGTTAGGCAGGTGCAATAGTGCAAAATACAGGTTAGGTGAATAAAAACTTCTCAACCTTTTCTTAATGCAACTATTGTTACTAATTTCGGGAGTGCATGTGTAGTGCTACCATCCCTCTAAGTTACTACAAAGAGAATATTCCCAGGCTCAAATGAAGCATCGCCACTCTTTTATGTATAGCTTGAATATCGTATATCTGTGCAAAATAATGCACAATAAGGCTAGTGATATAGGGTCGTCCTAGAAGACGCTGTACCTCAACAATAGTCCACAAATTAGCGTGTGTCTACTAAAGCATATATGGGTTCCATTGTAATCTCTATTAGCGTGCATCTGCTTATAGGAGCCAAAATGGGGTTCATTTGCTCTCAGTTGCAGAGCCACTTCTTGGCGCGTGAGGCTTAGGAGCATTTACTGCCGGAGCAACAGTAAATCAGTCAGTCAACTTATTAAAAGTGAAGACTTACAGGAACAACCAGACAGTTATCATAATTTGGTTGTTTCTGCAACGTTTTTTCAACATAACATGTTTATTTTTCATAAGTAACTTAGGTCGTTGACAGAGATAAATTTGTCGACTTCTAATTACAATTAGCTAGAAACTTACTAAAATGGAAGAAAAGCAAAAGGCGCGTGTAAGAGTAGGTAAATACGTAGCAAGCGGCAATTTTGGTCTGAATTCAGCTAATCCCCAAGGGCTTTGATTTTAGCTGGAATCACCCTTTAAAGACGAAAAATGAAATCAGTCGCACATTTTAGTCCTGCTTAACCCTCACAGGTTTGTGGATTTATGGGATCTTGTAGCGTATAAAAATTTGCGTTGCGTAATGATTCGGAACAAGTTACTTATATCTCTCCAGATTTTTGAATTTGTGTTCTCTAACACGTAATGAGAGTCATTTGAATTATTTCGCCACGCAGCGTTACCTAAAGCTAGCACGGAGAATTTCCGCTTCAAAAGTGCTTGAATTAAAAGCTAACAGAAGAAAAAATTAATTCAACAAAAAATTTAAAGACATCTCTACCGGAGAAGTGAAAATTTTGAGGTGACTGAAGCTATCGGTAGATAAAAAAAATTAACACGGTCATTTGCAGTGGGAAAATGCAAACAAAAGACCGATTAAACAAAAATACGGTCAAAGACTACTATGGACTAACGTCATGACGATGTACCGTCTTCGGAATTGTCATAAGACATTGCTTGAAATATACTTGCAAAATTGCTAGGGTTTTTTTAATTAAAATAAAATTGATAGGTTAATGTCAAATAAATACAGAAGCACAAGCAGTCGTTTTTTGAAAAAAATTTTGTAGTACACTGTGATGAGACCCGGTTTTTTGAAGATTTCCCCTCTGTGCTTCACTTTTTACAGAGTCGTACGTATTCAAATAAACTTTGACAGCAAGTTTACTTGGAAATGAGATTAGGAATAACACGGTGTGGTCACATGTGTAAGAAGATAAACGCCAATATTCTTGAACCAAAACGGCTGTTGCGACCTCTTGAAGCCTATGTCCTTTTGCCAGATCGACTGTGTAACGTGAGGCCAGATGAAGCTCTGTCACCATTTACGCCATGCATGGTAGACCTGATTACTACAGCCCTTAAATGTTGTGGAACTGTTGGTGACACCGCACTTGTCCCAGTTAGCTGGATGAAGCTAAAACTTGACCCAGACAAAATGATCTCTGTAGTCGCAGCTGTGATCCCATCCCTTAACGGGCAACCCTGCTACCACATACTGAAGACACCGGGTGCTGATAGGAGATCAAACAAGAGAGACTTGCACATCTTCGAGACGATTGCCTGCGTCGCTGAATGGGACTGTGAAAAACTCCTCAACCTTCAGGTGGTTATAATTCTACCTTGGCCGGATCCCTCCGTTGATGTATTTGACAAGTCAATTTATTCATTACCCACTGCTCACAAAATAAATAAGGCCATATTGGAAGGCGGTCCTGTCACAGTTGGAGGCCATCAATCTTTGTATCGAAAGTACTACTTTGATTTAAACCAAGTCTGTGCTTGGAACTGTCAAGTATGTCTACCCATAGGACTGCTCAGTGTTGCTGTGTGTTGAGTTTCCCATCATAAAGGTATCTGCATGTTCCGTATAAAGTATAAAGAAAGTGCTTTTACAGGTGATTAGCAAATTTTCATCTTCAGTGTTATACCTATAGCTAAATGAAATTGACGTTTGTGTGCGCTTTGTTTGATTGCATTTTCAGTTTTTAGCGCTTCTTTTTAATAAACATTTGACAAACGTCTCGGTGGCTGGACGTGCATCAACGCCCAGCACTAACCTATTGTCGTTTGCTGAACTTCATACAACTGATTCTGTTCAGGTACTGTGTGTTTCAGACTGGTTCGCACAATCGACGGCTGAGCTAACGATCGCCCTACTGGCTTGCTTAAACAGTGGCATTTTAAAAGGTATGTCTTCCTTATTGTAATTAAGTATATTTCAGTAGGCCAAGATCGAAGAGACAATAAAGAACTCTTGTTAGGTGGTTTTATCTCAAACGTATGTTTAAATGTGCAGATGGAACTCAACCTAAATAGCCAACAGTATGAGGTTTTGCGGAGAATAATGGTCGAAAAAGCCGTTAACTTTTAACCTTCTTGGTATTTGTGCTTGATTTACCTCCCAGCTAGTTTCAGTTATGTTCAGTTATACAGGCGGGTTGTGTGCATTACACAAGATTGGCACTGGAAATGCAAACTTTGAGGCTAGAGATAATCTTAAAAATTTCCGCGGTAACATTTAGAAAATCTGTGAACCAAGTAGATCGATCAACTTTATGGACAAAGATTCACACCCAGTGATTATTCCGGATGCATCAGAGTTTTGATAGCGGGTTCTGGTAATAAAATGGATAAATTTGCCGCGGTTTTAATGTACTGACAGACTAAAGCTTATTACACAAAACGACCTGACGCAAAAATGGGAAGTGTGAGGTGGTGTGACCACCTCATTTTGCAGAAAACTCAGAGCCGTAGTCGTGAAATATCTACTGGGTACTCCCATATCATGGGTGTGATTTGACTCGTTATTCACTCTGGACTGTATTCACGGAACGTTTATGTATTCCATGCAATATATTGCCGTTGTCTCCAGGCACCAACAACTACTAGTAGCTATGAATTTCTAAAAATTGTGAGAATATCTACTTAAATGTCTTGGCCAAAGCTGGCATTAATTGGTTCAGTTGTAACCAGGCACTTTCTTCATTATTCATAAATGGGTGAAGGTTGGTCGTGCTTTTGAAATGAGAGGTTGTTTCACGCCACCTAATCAGGTGTATTACCACAAGGATCAAAACGAGCGTAACGAAACCAAAACCTCCATTCATAAATACATTCCTATGCTTTATAAGAAATCAACCTGTGACAGAAGAAATAAGGAAACATTTTTGCATGTGAAGGCTTAGAAATTCTCTTAGTAAAATCATCTTACTTTAATTTGTTTCCTTCTATAATTTTCGGTTCGAAGAGAATGCAGAATCGCATTAAGCCTTAGCAGCCACAAACACCACAATTGCTGCCGACCAACTCTATGTTCAGATTAATAGCAGGAGTGCCGTGGGCTCATGACTCTACTTAGTTTCATGAGATACCCACTCTTGATGACGCTCAGCAAAAATGAAATTGCAGCGCATTGCTTCTCAGCTTTGTAGCGTAGACCATCTTCACTTAAATAACACAGTATCCACTGCCACTCATAATTATCATCATACTACCAATAGTAACTGCCAATTTGCGGTGTTCACTGCGTCGCATGATGGTGATCCTTGTCCCCCTTAGTAAGACTGCAATACATGAACAGGGTGATTCTCTCTGCCTAGTCCCTGATGTAAGATTAGTGCAAACGTACGCCTAATATTAGGTAAGCACTGACGTTCAAATATAAGGGAATATTTGGCTTGAAGGATTAGTTACATGTATTAAATTTATTTGAAGAGAGGGAAAATAAAAGATAGCAGAATATCGAGCCGGTTTTTTGTGGTAAATATTAGTGGAAACTGCTCCGTGCAGGTCTGAGATTAGCAAAATTATTTTCGAAGTAGTATAGTGACCAGCTAGCTGGTTCCGTAAGTTGCTCCACTTCAAATTTAATTAAACCATATATGTTCGTCATCTACCTATAACGACATTTACTGCAATATTTTGCATTAAAGCCCTCACATAATCCCTGAACCCAGTTTTCTTACGAACTTTTGGGGTCAAAACACATGATAACTGATACTGCCGCAGCCTTTACCTGGTAACCCAAACTCATACAGACAAACTAACGACAAACTATCAACCGTCTTTTACTTTCCATCTACTTTGTTTAGAGACAAATTCAGTGTATCACAGCTGGATGCAAAGTCTTGTTAATCAACAACCAATTTCTTACGGTGCATCGAATCATTGGCGTAAGCAGCCTTCCAGTACTACCCTTCGTTCAACACAACCAGGTGCCGTCGTTCGTGGGCAACATCTTTATCTCTCAAGAGCTGTTTTTCAACTAAAACAACGGCCATCAAGGAAACGGATATGGCAGCGTACGGACGGAACACATAGACGTGCACAAACTACTCCATCTGGTCTGACTCATTTCCAGTACCTCAGTAGGGCAAAGGTTCTCACTGGAAGCCGTCTAGGACTCGTCGGCCTAGTTGGTGAACTTCCTAGGATCGTGGCTAAAATAGCTGAACAAGGCTTGGGAATGAAAATATTCTACTATCAACCTCATCCACAGTATGGTATTGACAGCATCTTCCGAGAATTTTTTTGCAGTCATTGAGTGCACACATTTGTCCGTAACTAACCTACATACTCTTTCCTGATGAAGAAAGTGGCCACCCTATCGAATTAAAAAACCCAAACTTCTGACACAGCACAACTGCGTTATTTCCCTCTCATAAGTGAAAAAATTGAATCGTATTTCCCTCTCATTAGGGCTCAGTAGCACTCCTTATCTTTGATCATACCAGGACAAAAATCTGGCGAAGATAGCAGAAAACAAACAGCCATCAGATACGCATATAACAAGCAAAGTGTTTATACTAGTGATCTAGTGAACCTCACCGGCACGCAAAAATTCGACACGGTTTGTTCATTTGGTTTCATACAACATATGAACGTACTTCCCGCTAGTGGGATATAATTACCCCATTGTTTTGGATTGGATTCTTATAGCAGGCATTTAACCAGTTGTTGATCTGCACAAACGGTCAATAGTGTGTTCCATTCACTTCACTCAGATAGCCCATACATGTCATATTGTTATGTCTTAGCGGACGGTGTGGATAGAGGAACAACTTCATGGTTTGCGATGCCCTTCGCTTGACAACCACTGCAGAGTGGTTCCATATGGTCTTGTTATGATGAGTCTGATAAACGATGAGTTCTACTCAAAATTTACTGTCTTTGGCCTTATTTTACTTGTGCTATATGGTCCTTTAAGACAAAGAACTAATTTTGCCTTACTCTGCTAGTCACTAAATCAATGTAAAAGTTTGAAATGACAAAGAAATGGTCCTTCTTTCAGGGCAGCTAATGTTATCCTATCTTTCCGGCCATCATGGAGGGGTTGAGTTGCATATAGTTAACCTGGCTAGGAAAGCTTACGATGGGGTTTTGGATTTAACTACTAGGAATAGTACCGGATTGCCTTTTAGGATGCCACATAGGCGACGGTAGCTAGGACTCCACTTTTGTTACTGACTAGGTTTCTAGCGTATTCTATTCAGAGATGTCTTGCTTTTTGTTTCACATTAAAAAACAATTATTACAACATTAACAGCATCCATCATAGCTCAAGATAGAAGTGAGTAAATTCAGGTTATTCCACAGATCAACCGACCTTCTCTATCGGTCAGCTCTCCTATGATTGTGGGATGCACAGTTAACCGTCAACAGTACAAGTAGCCGTTTTTTACAAGTAACGTATCATCTAGTGTTGGCTGTGAGAACGTGCCCCTAAGGACGTCAAACGGCCACAGTGAAGTGACCTTCGACCAAATTTAACAGAACGAACCAGTATATCACACGGAGTCTTGGCACTAGTTGGAACAAGTATTTTCAAGCAAGTAGGTAAAATCAAGTTGGTCCAACTATAAATGAAACACCGAACCGTTATCTTCTGTGCCTCGCATTTGCAAACTTTCGTTGTGTTGCCGCACGATTGGCTTGAATAGTGGGTCAGATATTATTGACCGTTTCTGCAAACCGCTAATCGTTTTAAATTTATTCAAAAGCAAACAACTAGCTTAGTAATAACGAGGCCTTGATGATATCAAACAAGGTTTTAAAATCCCATATCACCGACGAAGTATGTGACCTATCTAGCTGTAAAAGAACCTTATGGGTTACGCGAGCTCTTTAGATGATAATTCTTTACTCCAAAACCTGGACGCCACTTGATGCAACTCAAGTGACTGAAGGATTGGTGGCTCAGTTTCCAATCAGAGTGCTTGTTTATTACACCTTGATCAGCTACTCATAATCAGATGGTTTAACTATCAACGATGAGGTATTTGCTTCAAATCTCTCTGGAGCTCCGTGAAATGTGAACTGCCATCGGTTCCAGCGAGGTTGAACCAGTTTAACAGCGTTCACTGCCCATCTAGTGCTATTTCTCTCTGGTTCTTGATAAAACCCTGATTGCATATTTTCAAAAGACTTATTACGTGCACTCTGCAAGTGATATTCAAGACATCTAGTTACTATTACAATAAACGTGGTGGTACTGCACTCCTATCTGACAGTTAACCACAGTCCACATATAAGTTGCCCAAAGATGCATTTTTTTTACCGTAAAAACGGTCAAGTACGGAAAAACTCTCAAACAAAAGACTTTTATACCCCTCCCAGAAAACGCTCTACCAGTATAAACACGCAAGAACGTGTGGTCACTAAGTCCACGTTCAATCATGTGTTGAATGAAGAAGCTTAGTCGGCAAAGACCGTTCCACCTATCCCAATCTAAGAACAGTCTGTCGTATCGTCAGTCCTATAATGAGCATTACCTGGTCCAGGGAATCTACTTAGACCTATTGGCTTTAGCACCTTTCCGCAGCGACCGTTGTGTAGCAACATTTGGTACATTCCCTCGTGTTTAGTGAACAGAAGCGCACAGGTGGCGTATAATAAATTCGGCGTATCTACCAGCCTAGCACCAGAAAATGACAGCAGTACAATTAGTACAACAGCAGCAGTTCGGTCATTACATTCATACTGTCCAGCCTTCCTCCGTATTCATCCGTATTCAGACTAATGCCTGCTCCACTCAGAAATTGTCACCCGGCCAACTAATCACGGCTCTGACTTTAGGGAAAATGTAGGTGATGGAAATCAGTGGGGAGGGTAAGATTATTCTTTAAGATTCTTTAAGATTATTCTTTAAGATTATTCTTTAATCCTGTGCGCCAGTTTTCGCCAACTTTGAACACCATTGAGATGTAAATGCAACCGAGATTTTTCGACACGGTTTTGGAATAAGGCCGCTGTGAAATCTTTGACGGTGCACTACCAATTTTTCCAATAAAGGTCTACAATCAACAAAAATCGACTTTGTGTTAACGGCAAACTTAGCTGAATGCGAAATGAACCTATTTTTCATAAGACTCGTCAACCGAAATTGTCACTTGTGTGATTTATAATAACTTGAAGATACAATATGCTAGTATTCTCATCTAAAATCCACAGGAGTTACAAAAGGCATCGGTCAGAGGTTGGGTCAACAGAGTGCAAGAGGTTTGTTGAGTGTTTGGAAAATAAGTTCACCCAACGAAAATAACCCTCTTGTTCTGTGAATAAACTTTTAACCCATCCGCTTTATTCAACCCAGGACATACGTTCACCAGGAGGCTTTCAGTTAAGTGAGTTGTATTCTTATATGCTGCGTTTATTCAGGACAGCGTGATGGATGCGGTACCACAGCATTGAGTGTGATTACATCTACAACCGTTCCAGTAGGGTGGAAAAGTGATATCACACGACGGTGCTGGTACTATGGGTAATCATATTGTCTAGGTTCCGCACTTGGACCACATCAGGATAGACAGGTTAGGACGGAGTAAAACTCAAAGTTCCGTTGGTGAACTACTATGTATGCAAGGATTATCAGCGATCAGCTTACTTCCTGTTATTGGAGTCATACGGATTATGTTTTTTCTCAGCTTTAGACTAAACTTGACCGTCTGGTACAACTGACGAGTAAGCGCTCTACTTATCGGGCAATACAGAACTGGTTAATTTGCTCTTTTGAGGGATATTCTGGACCTACGACTCATGTATATAATTGATTCAATCCTTTGCTTAGTGCCCCTATCTCCAAAGTTTATTCACCATTATATTATTCCATTGCCTGCTAGTTTTAAAATACAAAACCCCTGTTCCAAGTAAAATAGCTACAAACAGAAGCGTTTTTTAATATGGAGCAGGCTTTTAAGTTCATTTCAGTTCATGCTATATATGTGCACGTATTTTTAAACCCAGAACCAGTTACTTGCAACTGGGCGTTATTGATGGTAATTAATTTGTGCTTTCATCGCAGATCAGATCTGCCGTACAGACATGTGCCAAACTTGTTTGAATTGCTTGAATTCAGTGACGTAATTGTGCTGGCAGATGATACACTCAACAGTGTCATAAGGCAAAGAACTCTTATGCAAGCAATGGCAGGCCGAACTCCAGTGAGGCGAATCGGGAAACCGGTGGTTTGGTTGACTCACAACCACTTTGCACGCATCCAGTCTCATGCACTACTAGTCTGTGTAAACCAAAGTAAGTGATATGCTAAAACCATTCTCTAAAATTCACCTTCAAGTCTGTGTGTCAGATACATTTTCCATCATTTCTTAACGCTTTTCGTCGACATTGGATTACACTGCCACAGATGTTAGCGGTAACAAACCACGAACAAAATCTAAGGATTTGGTGGACAGCACTCGAATAATTGAAACCACTAGGGGTGGGCCATTCAAATGATTAAAGTAAATAGGTAACGAAAGCTAAAGACTTACTACGATCTTTGGTAAGAAGCCTTTACAAGTTACTGGACACAATACTTTTCGCCACTAATTTTATATATGATAATGCTATCAGACGTGCGGTGTGGGTCACAACAGTACGATGAAATTTATATGTAAACCGGTCTTTTGGTCGAATTCTTACTGTCCAAGCAAACACTACTGGACCCTTTGATCGGCTACCCGCCTTTGTTTAGCTGCACTTTACAGTAGTTTCTGGAGGCCTTGTTTAGTGTTCAGTCATCAAAAATAAGGAACACAACAATACTAACTTGGATTTAGCTAATTAAGCCTTCAATGCTTCTTCAGCTTGATCTCAGAAGTTACTGATCTGACTTTAGAATGACGGAATCCACAGATGGATAGATCCAATTTACAGATATCTCACAAAGTTGCTTCCTAAGAGAGGTGGCCACAGGCAGCGTCCGTACAAACTGCGTTTCATTTATAACTCTAGGAATGAACAACATGCGAGAAGCTGGGACCAAACTATCTGCTTTTCTGGCTCAAAAATGACTGTACGACATTGCACACCGCGAAATAGTCAACAATTTTTGGGGCTAAACCTTCCGATTTCGTATTGCATCGTTGATGAACTAAAGTTGCCGCTAGTGTTGTTGCTTGTGGCAATATTGAGTTCATCTTATTGTTAATGCATAGCAGTTCAGGTAACTATGACTCATAGGCAAATATTTGAAGAACGACTAATTGCCCGTAGATGTCTTCACAAACTGGAACAATTGCACAAAAAAGTTGAATCTAGCTATCTGGAAATATGGTCCAAGCTGGGCCTCAAAGCATTTCTGCTCTGCCCGCTGCATCCGTTAGTCATTCTCAGCAGCCGAAAGCCTGAGTTATTTCGGTAAAATTTCGCCTTCAGCTCCTTAGTCCTCTGATTTTGTATTGCTTTTGGATAGCATGTGCACTTTTGATGCATGTTTCGAGTAAAATTAATTAGGTGCCACCTTTTCAGAAATTCTTCTCGCAGAATAAACACTGAAACTCAAGCTGACAAAGTCTGGATTGATGAGTACCGTTGCTTTCCAGAAAATCTGAAGTTGTCAATTCGCAAACTTAAATTTTGGGTACAAGTGGGAAATATAGCGCTATTTGTGGATGCGCCATTTTTTTTGATGTATACTTGACCTATGTCTGAGAGAGCAAATAATGGTTGCTTGTGAAAAATTCACATTTCTCCTCCTGTAATACCCCATGCTGTTAGTCTAATTTGATATCCCTATGTAACACAATTTTGAGTAAGATCCATCAAGTGGGTTTTTATATCATATGTGGCAATGAATCGCGTATGATGGTAAATTATAACCCTTCCGGTTTAATTTTTATTTGGTTCCACTTTCAACAGTTACTCAGATCATGGCCTTCTGGAATTGGGTGAAACATTTCAAAGCCGAAATAATATGCAGTTCTTCTGAAAACGGCAAATATCAGTCACTCAATTTTCAGGCCACTTTGCTGTCTCAATATCTTTGAGCAGTCTGTCATGGCAAAGCATGAAGTGGTCGGATTCGGCTGTAAGCCGTTTTTTCACTACATTCAAACATCTTTTTAGTCACTCCCAAAAACATGTCTATCTTCTGGTTGTTCGGAATTATTCTTCCTCAGCAAGCCTAATAATCTATTACTTCTTGAAAAGGGACAGTAACTAAAAGGTTGCTAAAAACTCAGTGATGGCCTACCAGCCATATGGTTCTTCTTTGTATTCATCAGGTAGACGCAGCCTCCTTTATTTTTCTTGAGCCTTATATTCTTAGTGAAAATAAAACTCTGATCAAGCGGCAAGCATCATTCACCGGGCATATCTGATGGTCTGACGGAAGAATGAGACCAAAAGTGAACTGCTTTTGTTCTGCATACTATGTTGTGTTAAGAACAAGTTATAAAGTGTTCCAAATCTCGAGCCAACTGAAACACGAGGTGGCCCCGTGAAGTACTTTCACTTAAAGGATATCAGATACAATCGTTCCTTATTTGTCCTTTTCTCAAAACTGGTGAAACATTCCAGCTACAAAAGATTTATCTTTAAAATGAGTTTACTCTACTTATATGAACATCCGAAGCGCGTGTTTCATTTTATTTCATTACATTTAATTTACATGTAATTTAGCTGGTCAACAGGCACCATGTTTCGTACATTTTTCTTTCGTTTACAGACGATCAAAATTCCATCACCCTGGAGAGTAGGGAATTTTAACAATTGATAGAATATTTCCTGTGTTGGGTGGGATAATGGCCTTACGTATAGCAGAATGGATCTGCAATGAAATATTATTATTAACCAGTCACACACAAACAACATTGTGACGAATAACCGAGAAATATATTCGATATGAATAGAAAAGATCACTGTGAAACTCGATGAGTTTCAAAAATAACTTTCAAACCTTGGAGCACTAGGCCTGCTTGGATGAGATTTAAAAATAACTTATCTGCCATCATATGATGGAGGTAGTTTGGCGTGCCCAAGTGGGACACGAACACATGGCAGATTTTGCCTTCTACTTGTATGGTTTCCAGTTTAATCAGACACTGCATGATTGGAATAAACGACGAGGATGTGCGTATGGAATCGCTGAAGCTTCTGGGCCGCTTGTCTCATAATGAAGACGCAATCCTATAATCGCTTTTTCAGGTGAGGAGGCTGTCACTCCAACTTACCAAAATCAGTGGACTTGACGGAAAAAACGGTCAGTTCCAGTTAGCAATTTCGAAGGAATTTCGATTCGAAAGAAAAGGCTTGCCTGGTAGTTCGGAATTTGCACGTTAGATTAGGTCTAAAAAATTACACCGTCCCCATTATTGCAGTCCAAATCTGTTTTACAATATGACAGTTAAACCAGTGCTAAGAGACAGCCCAAATAATTCCAAAAATTTACTAGAAATAAACTAGTTTTGACTAATAACCCAGACACGGACCAACTCAACGAATTTGATATATATCAGCTATACTTCAACAGCAAGAAAAAGTTCCATTCACAAAAGCTGTTCTGAAAATCCCTCATCCTATTTCTTGTTATTGTAAAACAACATTCATATTGATGTTTTTGACACACCGTTAGCTAACTGGACTGCCATACTGGGGCTTTTCGGCTATCAGCAGCGCCCACATATATCGCGTCATTTTTATCCCTTGTTGCAGTTCAGTGCATCGACTTTGCGGCACTTGCGGCGGCCTTGCGCTATGGAAGTATTCGTGGAGCCGCAATCACTACACCAACTGTTTGGACAACGCAGTTGACAGAACTAGATGAGCTACGCAATCTCCCTAATACCTTTGTTCTTCCACCGTCCACCAGCTCTGCTTGTACACCCAGAGAAATTCGGCAAAATTTGGCTCATCACGTTGTGGAACTCATCGCTGAATCACTATACTATGACAATGGGAAACAATTAAAGGATGTTTCACAGGATCCAAGACCTTTGGTAAAAATCCGAAAGATTCCTGTGCCAATTCTGACTTCAAACAATAACCTATCAGACAGCAGAAATGAATCTCCTATGGATAAATACGCACAAACATTACTGCGAGTCTTACAGAAACTTCCGTTGAACCGGCTGGGAGCTATACTTCATAAACACTGGAAACTCATCTCCGATGGAGTCAAAGTGCATTAGAGTCAGGAACCGTATGTTCTGAACGTATCAGTTTCAGCAAAGCCTACCCCAACAATACTGTACATTGGCACAAAACTCACTTCAAAACAAAGAATTGTGCAAAATAATAATTTCTTACAGTATTGGCTACATTGGGGACTGCTTGAACCTCTAGTTTTATCATTCTCGTGGATATTGTTAGTTACTCGCTTTATAGATTCGGATAGTTTTAATCTTTGGTATTGCCGATATCAACTCCGTTTCTCCGGAAAAATTCACTTTCAACTAGCATGATTCTTGCGTGTGATCTGTTTCTCGGATCAAACTGGTTGCCCAGGCGATGTCCGTATTCTGAAGATGAAAGCGATGGAACTGCTTTGGTTGCTTCCTGAAAGCAGAAAAGACAATTTTAAGCAGTCTATCAATGCTATCCTAAGAATTCATTTAATTTGGCGTTTTATCTTTGCAAAACACAATAAACTTCGGGCGGCAGGTGTCGGCAAAACGATATATTTCACCTGTTTACTGAACTGATTCTAAAAATGCTGGTGACGCCTATTACTGTCACCGTCTTCCTTGACGTTATTCTTCAAACGAATGTGCTCTCCCAAAAGCTTCAGTTCAGTTGTAGCAGTATATCGCATAGATATAATATGCCCTCGTAAAGTTGTTGAAAAATATTGGACTTCACATGACCGTTTTTGTTCCTCTTAAAGCTCTTCAGGTAGCCGTAGTCCCGGGTTTTCGTCAGGTTAAATTGGTTTAATTTCGCCCGACAGACTCCCAGTTTGTTATTGTTGTTGTTTTTCTTCACTCTTGCGTAAAATGCTCATAAACCGGTTTGACTTTTGAAGAAGACAAAAGCGCACATGAATGCCTGAACACTGTCAAAGCTTATACAACCATACACGTAAATTTGGCTCACTCACGGTTGAGTATTACCAAGCTCAAAAGAGCCTATAGATGCCAGTTTGAAGGGGTGTTTTGTAAGGTGTACAAAAAGCAGAGCCAACCATCAAGAAAGCTCCATTTAAAACAACGACGGTCCAACGAACCGGCGTCAGCTTCTACTCGAGGTTATCTTATTCCTAAGGTTACAATCTTTCACAACAAACCAACATAAGGGGTGTTGCTATATAAGGTGGTACGTAAAATAAAAGATGGAACTCAACTCAGGATCGTGGAATGTGTCTTAAAGTTTGGTTTTGTTCTAAAATGGCCTTGCTTGGTGTCCATAGTTAGTAGCTGATGCTGAGTTTCAAGATCTGACAAATGGTTGAGCAAGGAAAATGGAAGCTGTACGATCGAGGATCTTGAGGCGGCCAACGTAAGCCGAGGCCACTGCTTCTTGAAAACACATTAATTTGAAACTTAGTTACAGTGGCCGTAAGCGGCTCTGTAGGAGCCCATTCAGCTGAGCGTTTACCGAGATTAGGTTTCATCAAGTGACAACTGAAAAGTGACCCTTTGACAAGCGGATGCACAGTCCACACCGACTGAACTTCGGTTTGAAAAATTAGGAACCTCAACGCCCAAGTTTTTTAATTCATGCACTTAAATTTAAAATTGCTTAAAGGAACAATTGCAGGTTCAACAAGAGGGCCATTTTTGGAAGGGTGCAAATGATTTGTAGACAGATACAACCACTGACAAGGTGTGGAATTTTTCACTATCACTGGAGATATAACTTCTAGTATGTGAAAGTAAAGCCAGCCTTTTTCATTACTTAGAGGTCGTTTTGCATCTGATAAGGGAAAGTCCGGAGATGCTGTACATTATTACCAATATTTCAAGCAAAAAGTTACTGTGCTTTTAACTACTGTTTAGGTTTTCGTTAAAGACGCCTGACCAAAATTGATTGGTTAATGAAAACTCTGCCTTGCATAAGCGTTCCATGGAATCAATACGTACGTAAAAATATGCACGCGACCTTCTGCTGCAACTAAAGATGGTAATATAGATTTTTAGTTATTCCAAGCAGTACTCCAACATCTATGGCGTCAAAGTGATGTATCGATGAATCTCAAGGGACGTGTGTATAAAGCTACCGTGAGGGTTGTTTTGTTGTATGGCTGTGAGACTTGGCCTATTCGAGCGGCAGAACTGAGATGTACTCAGGTGTTCAACAACTTGTCTTGGAACCTTAGTTCGTGTGAGGTGGTGTCGGCGAATCCGTACCTAGGCTATGAAAAGCAGCGTTCCGGTTGTGCAACGGGCACATCCATCGAAAAATGTGTCCAACACCAGAAGGTGCGTTGGTTGAGACATGCGTTGTATGTGCCGAACCACCATTTTCCGAAGACAGTAATGTTTCCCATGCCCAACTCAAAGCGGCGGAAGCACATAGCTGGTCTACCCTTGATCTAGCAGAGTGGTATGAAAGAAATTACGAAATTTCTTTGCTGTCGGTGCTACTCGCCTTCCAGGATGGGGACCGCGTGATCCTCACTGTGCCTGGTTGGAGACACTACAAGATATGGCTGCCAACCGATGTCAGTGGCGTTCTTGTTGTCAGTTTCTGTCCAGATTGCCTGAGTGAATGTCTGGAGGTGTAGGCACCTCGGATTGATTGTGTTAAGCTAGCACTAAGTCCCTCCCCCATCCACCTTTATTCTTTTCTCTACAATAAGGCTTTCAAATAAGTCATGGCTGTACGGCAGTGAAGCATTGGTGTTGAGCACTGATGTCATGCTGTCGTTGATGATGATGATGATGAATTACGCAATTTTTGGGTGCTGTCGGTGATACTCGCCTTCCAGAATGGAAACGCTTGATACTCACATCGTCTGATTGGAGATACTCCGAGATGTGGCTGCCAACCGATGTCAGTGGCATCCCTTTTTCAGTTTCTATCCACATTGCCTGATTGAGTGTCTGAGGGTGTAGGCACCCCGGATTGCTTGTAGCAAGCTAGCACTGAGTCTCTTCCATGTCCAAGTTCATTCATTTCTTCACAATAATGCTTTCAAATAAATAATGGCTGTAGGATATCGAGGCGTCAGTGTTGAACACTAATGTCATGACGACGATGATGACCGAGACTAGTCTTTCGGCATTTCAACTAAAATGATGAATATGTCCCCACTAAAATTTGTATTTTGCTTAGACAGTTCTCCAACTGAGTGCTTTTCCTTGCATAATGTGAGTATTTTATCAATATGGAAGAACTATAAAGGGTGTTTCCAGAAACATATGGCGTAATCTTTTTTTAAAGAAAAATCCACTCACCTCTTCGTATGTATGCAGTCCAATCAATTTGGCATGTCTTCTGTCGCATCGATGCAGTTTCTGATTTAGTTCTTCATGGCCAGAAAAAACGGCGTCGTATACACAACTGGGTTTGTCCGGCTACAAAGGAATCTGGACCCCAATAACAACGTCTTTTGTTCACGATAAGCAACGGCAAAGAAAACTCTAACCTAAGCTACATTTTCGAGAAAATATGCGCTTGAAAGAATAATATGCTAATTTATTATATATCTAGGGTCATGCGGAGGATTCTCGACGCTAAAAAACTGTTCTATCTGCACGGAGGCGAAAAATACCTAAAATCTGTTTGCATTAGTTCTTTCTAAAATTCTGCATTGGAATTCAGCCGAAGAATAACCAGCTTTTCTAATAATACTCACTTAACAATTACAGTCGCGTAACTTGTTTGCATATCTTTGTAATGTACTACTCATAAGGTTGCTGAAAATCCATCGACAGACCATGACCGGTTTTGCCCTTCTTGGGGCTCATCAGGTAGGCGCAGTCCCCGGGTTTCCGTCAACCTTATGTTATATTTGAAACCAAATTGCACGAAATTAGCGAAGGTACACTCATTTGCAAACTACTTTGTTTTTTTTTCGAGAGACTCACTTTGAACCCAGCTGAATCTCTCGTTTATGATGTCGTGGGCTGTCGATGGATTTTCAGCAACCTTATGAGTAGTAAATTACAAAGATATACATGTATTGAAATATTTCAAATATCGTGACGACTGAAACATGAGGCGGATTGGTGCAGCACATTCAGTTGCCTGAGAACACCATAAACGAGAGATTTCAGCTGGGTTCCAGGTGAGTCTCTCAGAAAAACCAAATTAGTTTGCAAATGAGTGTATATTCGCTAATTGTTTGCATATCATTGTTTAATTTTTACTCTGCTAATTTGTTGACTCTGAAATTGTATAAAACAAGTTTTGACGTAATATCATAAGCGAGGGACTCACTAGAGCCTTACCTGAAAAATCCATTTGACATGGAAATGAGTGTTTCTGTACAGAATGTCGAGTTTGGGTCCAAGTAAAATATAAGGTTGACAAAAACTCGGGGACTGCGCCCACCTGATGAGCCCCAAGAAGGTTGAAAACTGGCCGTGGGCTGTCGAAGATTTTTCACCTGAACTGTGAGTAGCTTTATTTATGAAAGATTTGATAAACTTGAACTGGCTTTATAATAACCATTTGTTGCTACTGTGACTACTGTTATGGACTGAAACATTCTAAATTGTTTGTGCATAAACCAGTGCGCTGCTCATTGATATCACATTCTGTTTCATCGAATTGCTGCTGAAATGAATTCGCAAGGGCGGGCCCGTAAATGGCTAACAAACATTTTTGGGTAGGACCTTATCTATTTAAATATTTGATTTAATCTCATTGGAAAAATATTACCGACTTTTATGGCGTTTGATGCACAGAAAAGTTTAAAAAGAGATGCCACTTTTGTAGACCTTTTATCGTGCAATTAAATTCAATGTATACTGGAAGGCCAGGAACTACCCCTTAAACGTTCCATCGTCATTTGGAATCACCACCAATTTGTACCACACAGACCTCCGGAGCCATTTAATCCCATGATCTTTTAGCTAATGTTCCAGGAGTAAACTTTTTAAACTTGAGCGACTGCCTAATGGTGTGATCAGCCTGAATTTGAACAGAACGTACAACCACAATCCTCCACCCATGGAATCCACATCACGTTGATCGACTCATTGAGTGTTCACCTCTAAGACGATAGATACTTGTTGATGGTGTGAGGTCCTGAAGGACATATTCTGAGGTAGGGATACAAAAAACTCGAAGTAATGGCCTAGTCTTTCGAACAAGAGAACACCTTTTACTTGGGTATAAATTTGAAAATCTATAAAGAGCATCCAAAAACGCTATTTTAGAAGGTGTTTTCAAGTGGTGCTTGGTTCAATCAAAATTCAGTGGAGGTTTTTTATATGAAAAAAGGATGTAAAAGGTTCTGTAATGAAAAATAATCCCTAAAGGTAGACTCACTTTTTTAGGGGAATTAAAATACGTTCGCTCCTTTGGCAAGCTTCTGCCTGTTGGAACATGCGAAAATGCGGAAAGCGAACAGGGTCTGCCTTCCAGGTGGAACAATTCGCCGTGGCTTTCCACATCAATGACGGTCTTTTTTGTTTGTTCCTCCATTATTTATGTATAACTTTTACAGTTGAAAGCCACCTGAAAGATAATTGTGGCAACTATCTGTCGATTTCTTCATTTCAAATCTGAAATGAAGGAACGCAAAAACTTAGCACTCGCTGTCCACGGTATTTGGCGAGATATTTTACGGTAGGTTTATTTTAACCGTCTCTAATATATAGAACAAAAGATACAATAGACTCATTTTTTGCCTCTCAAACAGTGACCAGAAATGTAAAACTGCAGGATGGCGTGGTTCGTTTACCAAAACATTGCTATGGCTTGTATTTTTCTTAGGAACGAATTTTCATGTAAACCATTTTTTAGGTGATACTGCGCACACTGCCATCAACAGTACTCTTTTCTTCCAGAAGCTCACTTATCACTCAAAGAATTATGAAAGCCATTACAAGCAAACTCAGCTGCCCTGGTCATTGCCGTCTCTAGTGCTGAAGACTACAAGACGGGACACACTAATGGTTAGAGACATTGTCAGATATGCTATAGTTCGCTCGCACCATATTTTTGGGGGAGGAATCAATGCCAGTTCTACTTTTCCACTCAGTTGGATGACCCTAAAATAACATAAATAAAGCAAACTTTTTCACTATAACTGCCATTTAAATTTTAACTAACTAACTAACTAACTAACTAACTAACTAACTAATAACTAACTAACTAACTAACTAACTAACTAACTAACTAACTAACTAACTAACTAACTAACTAACTAACTAACTAACTAACTTAACTAATAAATAAATAAATAAATGAATAAATACATTTTACATGTTTCACAATCACGAGTTTCTTAGTGCCGAGGAAGCCGGTGGCTCAACCGAAACCGTCAAATGCTGTCTGTGGAAGTGGAGGCAATCTAGATAATGCTTGAATGCCGGAGCCGCTGTTTCAACATCCGGTTTCACGTGAGGTCGATTCTCGGCAAGTATCTCACCAACAGCAATGTCGGAAGCATTCGGACGCGGCACATTTTCTGGTGAGACTATCTAATTAAGTTCAATTTATGTCGCTGAATATACACTTTTTGCAGATAACATTATTGGTCTGAAGACTCCTTTCAATGAACGAGAACTAGCCCGCTGTTTGCGAGATGAAGACAACCGAAAGTCGAATTTTGTATATTTGACCTTTGAAACGCTTGAACTTTATTGAAGATTTCCAGACTTTTTACTAATTGATAGCAATTTTTCTACCAACCAAAAATACTTTCGTACCATCTTTTTATTGTAGATGCAATTGATTTTCTCCGACTAAAGACAGAACTTTCCTTCAGACTTTTCTCAAATTCGTCGGTGCTGGTTCTTATGTCAAGCGTATCATGTCTGACGGAGCGCTGACCATGGGAAACGTAATAAGTAGTGTATTTCCATTTGTCAATCATTTATAATGTCGCGTTTACATAATCAGTAACAATAATAAACGTCTTTTTCTATACAGCTCCTTTAGCGTTTTTTGCGTCCTTGCATGCGTCCAACTTTTGGAGGTATTTAGCTTCCCTAGAACTCATTCGAGTAAATTGCCGGCCTTTGTTTCTGTGTATGAACTTTTCTATCTTGACAAACGCTTTAAAATGGGCTAACTGTAGGATGCCGCGTGAAAAAAAACTAAAAAATTTACGATAGGAAGACGGTCAAGGCCATCTACTGATGCTTCAATACGGAATCGCTCAACAGGTGAATTGGACCATGGGAAATCATACGAGTCTCACGGATGGCCGCGATGTACCTTGTATAGAACCTTCAAAAAGCCATATCGGATGCGTCTCATTGCGACTTCCGCGTTATCGGCCATCCTAAATTGGACAGCTAATGCCGTCGGTCGATGCTGTGCACCATCTTTAAAATGGCATCCGACTTGTGCTCTACCCATCCGTTTACGGTTTTGATCGGATACGTTACTGAGATCGCCCACAAGACAGTCAGCCACGCAACCAGAACGTGCATATGCAAAAACTAAGTTGTTTCCGGATTTCTTTGTCGTCATATACTACACACTGCAAGATAAATCAACTTGGAAGCCAACGAACTACTGGCCTGCTATCGTTGGAACCGGGAAAAACCACGGTGCAGTTGCAGTTTCGTTCATTCCTTTGGATGCACCACGACGTGGAACTAGAACAACTAGTGCTTCATTGAACGTACTCTTGAATTATGTTCCTGCATCAGCGTCTTGATCACAAACATTTCGACTTATTTGTTTCATGGCTAAGCAGTACGGTTCAACGCGTGGGTCAACGAGAAATCCCGCCATTTGCTTTCCCACCCCCCATCAACTAGACAGCAGACATTATCGGCGCAGACTGCGACCAACTGCCGCGGGCCACATTGCTGAACTTGGGTGCTTCTGCTCTCCAGCAGACGGGATTCTCGGAAGGGCTCGTCACATTGGACCCAGAATATCCTATTGTATACGCCGTAATGGTTCCTCTCGAAATTGCAAGCTCCATCCAAACTGGTGAGCGACAGGCAGCGACAGCGTATGGCACAAGACGCATCCTCGGGCGGAAGTCATCGATTGCCCATCCGCCGTACTAACTTAGCAAGGTTTCTGAAAGATGATAACGTATGTGTGAATGCAGTCTTGAGGATACGGAGGAAGACGAAAGACGCACAGTAAATTGGGTCAGTGTTCATGTTGTTCACGGTGGTTTCATCGAAGCTGCCTTCTTCACCTCCCCATTGTAGCAGATTTTGTGCTGTTTTTGCGAGTAAACATTCGACTTAATTCAGACGTCGTGCTTTGGCGTTCATGCACAGCTTAAGGTATATATGCCAGCTTGAAATATGCCCCTTTATTGTGTGTGCCTCCCTTCATGCGTACGTATATGTACTGAGGTGCGTGTCACTTTGAGTTTCAGAGTTGTTTTCCGTGGACAGCTAATTTTACCCATACAACTAGTTTGGATTTATCAAACTGTGATGAACATGACTGATACTCTATTCATCGATCTATTCATTATTCTCTTGTTTTAATATTCCATATCCCAGTAAGCCACCGGTGGCTAACGGTGGCCAAAGGTGATAGCTTTGCCACTGATTTTGTTAGTGAATACAAGCCAAACATAGCATTTGTTGCATAAAAGCCTTCTGAAAACAAATTTAACAGGATAATCTAGATACTGGAGCTCTATTTACGAAGTAATTTTTGAAACCAATTTGGTTGAATCCACCACCGATTAAATATAGCACGAAATTTTTGGATTGCCACCTTTGGCCGCTTTTAGCCACCGGTGCAGCCATCGGTGGCAAGCGTGACATTCCACCCCTATTTGCCTCCTCTTGCCACCGGTGGTGCCGCGGTGACGTGTTTACTGGGATGCTGCACATAGACGCCAATTCGAATACATACGTACTACTTGTTGCGCTGACATGAATTCTGGATTTTTAGTTCGTCCGTTTATTCCGATATACGTCCGAAACTTAATTCTCACACAAACTTTTTCAGGTCCGCCGCAAAAAATCCCTCCTCAACGTAGTCTGGTATGACGTGTGTTTAGCTGCGTCAAGGGAGATCTGTTGCCTAAACAATCCCAAAAATATTGTTTTATATACTATTATTGTTCAATTTAATTTGAAGATGAATGCTCGTTACTGCCGAAGTAGCCGGCTAGTTTTTCGCGGATGTACAATGGCCGACGATCAGAACAACGGTGGAACAGTGTCCTCTTGTTATCTCCCATTTCACACACACACACACAAATACCCCCTCGTACATCTGCATGGTCATGAATTCGGAACGCGACGTCCCACTTGTTCTTGTCTTCTCAACGAGCGACTGGCGGGTTTGCCGTCATTCCATGCGTTGGAAATCAGCGCGATGGATATAGGTTGCTAGTGATCATTTACTCTCCATTACCTCTTGAAACCTTAAAATAGTTTGGACGCTGAAAGTGACTGCAAGCATTCATGACAAAATCACATTATCAAGCTGAAAAATTTCGCGGTACAAAATCACAGGTTCTGTTGTTATGGTTACGTAAAACTGTGTAATGCGTTTAAAGTTACGGATTCGTGGATTGATACACAGAATCGAGGCCTTTGCCCAAGTTTTCCGGGTCGCTTTTGTTCTCCTCGTTGCCTGAAAGGTACAAGTAAAAAAGGGTGTAGCACTTAGTCGAGGCTCTATAATGCTTAGCGCTGAGAGGCAAAGGCAAGAAAGTAGTCAAAAACAGAACCCTCCTGTGATGAACATGACTGATACTCTATTCGTTGCTCTATTCATTATTCTCTTGTTTTACTATTCCATATGCTGTAAATATTCGCCAATTCGCATACATACGTGCTGGTTTTTACGCTTCGCTGAATTCCGGATTTCTAGTTTGTCGGGTTGTACCGATATACGTACGAAACTCAATTGTCACATTTTGGCGTCGCGATTGGAACGATTCATCGTGCCTGCCGAAATGGAATCATTAGATGTTAATCCAACTGCGCGTGACGTATAGGATTATTTGGAACGGTTCGATATATGGTGCCTCACAAAATCCGATATGGATGATAAGAAACTCACTGCATATTTCCTACATTTCGATGGCAAGGAGGCGTATACGTTGATCGAAAATTTAGTGTATCCTGAATCCCCAATCGATATTTCCTACACTGCATTGAAGAAAAAAAGTTCTCCAACACTTCAAACCGATTAACTTCGTAGCAGCCGAAAGAGATAGGCTCAATATGTTGACCCGACCTTATTGTAAGTCGGTTCGAGATTTCGTGTTACAGCTGCAAACACAGGAGGCCAAATGTGACTACGGTGCCAAATGAGAAGACCAGCTCCGTGATAGACTCATTGCTGGCATTCACCTGCCCGAATTACAGCAGAAGCTGCTACTCTGTCCGGATCAGAAATTTCAAACTATTCGGCAAACAAATAAGCAGTATGAAGTAAGAAGCAAGTAGCGAAGACTGAGGAAGCAGTCTTGTTAAATTATTCTACAAGAAATAATTCAAGGACGCAGACGAACAACAAATTCAAACTTCGAACAAATTCTCGTGCCCCAAATCCATCAACACGTCACTTCACAGATCGTAACCCTAATCCGATGGCTCAAAAATTTGGGAAATG